CATGTAATGCTATAAATCTTCCTCTAATACTTTTACTGCATCCAGCAAAATTTTACATATTGTGTCTTCATTTATTTAGAATATTTTTCTAATTTTGGGGGTAGCCTTTCTCTTTGACCCTTGGTTATTTAGAAGTATCTTGCTAAATTTGCATGGAGATTGTCCACATCTCTCTCTGTTAATGATACCTAATTTAATTTTGTTCTGTCCACAGTATATACTTTTTATAATCTGAATTATTTTAAGTTGTTTGAATATCATTTTAAGTTCAAGAATATATTTTATTTTGGTGAACATCACATGTGCTCTTGAAAAGAATGTATATTCTGCTATCTTTGGAGTGGAGTGTTCTGTCAATATCATTAGGTCACTTTGGTTGATAGTGTTTAGCTCTTTTATATTCTTTTTTTCTTTCTTTCTTTCTTTTTTTTTTTTTGAGATGGAGTCACTCTGTTGCTTAGGCTGGAGTGCAGTGGCATGATTTTGGCTCACTGCAACGTCTACCGCCTGGGTCCAAGCAATTCTTCTGCCTCAGCCTCCCGAGTAACTGGGATTACAGGCATGAGCCACCACACCCAACTGAGTTTTTTTGTATTTTTTAGTAGAGGTAGGGTTTCACCATGTTGGCCAGACTGGTCTTGAACTCCTGACCTCAGGTAATCTGCCCACCTTGGCCTCCCAAAGTGCTGGGATTACAGGTGTGAGCCACCACATTTGGCCAGTGATAATTGTGAAATTGTGAATAAGTTTTTTCAGCGATCAGATTTTGTATGTTTAGAAGCTCTGATGTTTGGTGCACCTATGCTTAGGATTGTTTTATCTTTTTGATGAATTAGCTCCTTAATCATTATGTAATGTCTCTCTTTATCCCTGATAAGATTCCTTATTCTGATATTTATATAGTCATAGTGTTTGCATGGTACATCTTTTTCTATCTTTTTACTTTTAACCTATGCATTCATATTTAAAGTGGGTTTCTTGAAGGTAGTATATAAGTAAGTCTTGCTTTTTTATCCACTCTGCCAACCCCTAATGTTTTATAGGGCTATTTCAGTGACTTACAGTTAATATAATTATTGATATGATTGGCTTTAAATCTACCATTTTGCTGGATGTTTTCTATTTTCTCTGCCCTTTTTTTCCCCATTTTCCTGTTTAATTTTTTTTTAACTTCTGCTTGCTGAAGTATTGTTTTACTATGTTTTATCTTTACTACTGGCATATTATTATACCTTTTTAAAAATTTTTAGGCCAGGCACAGTGGCTCACACCTGTAATCCCAGCACTTTGGGAGGCCAGGGTGGGTGGATCATGAGGTCAGGAGATTGAGACCATCCTGGCTTAACACGGTGAAACCCCATCTCTATTGAAAATACAAAGAATTAGCCGGGCGTGGTGGCGGTTGCCTGTAGTCCCAGCTGCTTGAGAGGCTGAGGCAGGACAATGGTGTGAACCTGGGAGGCAGAGGTTGCAGTGAGCCACTGCACTCCAGCCTGAACAACGGAGTGAGACTCTGTCTCAAAAAAAAAAAAAAAAAATTTAGTGGTTGTCATAAGGTTTACAATATCCATCTTTATCATAGTCAGCTTTCAAATGACTGTACTGCCTCATGTATAGTGTAAGAACCTTCCATTGGTATAGTTCTGACTTCTCTCTCATTCTTTGTACTATTTTTGTACATTTTACTTTTACATATATTATGTACCCCACATGAGGGAATTTTTTTGGATGATGGGAATGTCTGTATCTTGATTGTGGTATGATTACATAGGTGTGTATATTTTTCATAACTCAAGAAATGCTACATATAAAATGAGTTAATTTTATTTTAGGTTAACTATCCCTAAAGAAAGATTTTGATATTTAGTCTTGTGCCAATAACAATGTTTTGGTTAACAATGGACTGCATAATCATATGTCCTGTAAGATTATAATACTATATTTTTCTGTACCTTATCTGTGCTTAGGTATGTTTAGACATACAGTACTTATCCTTGTGTTAAAAGTGCCTACAGTATTCAGTATAGTAGCATGCTGTACAGGTTTGTAGCCTGGGAGCAATAGGTTATACTATATAGCCTAGGTGTGTACTAGGCTATGCCATCTAGGTTTGCAAGTCCACTCAATAATGTTTGCACAATAACTACATTGCCTAATGACACATTTCTCGGAATGTATCCCCGTTGTTAAATGACACATGACTATACACACACACATATCTGTGTGTGTATCTATCATCTGTTAAAAGAATAAGAATATAGATCTAGTATAGGGTTTTTGTAGGTTATAATATTAATTAAATGTCGTTGGTCCTGGTGATAATAATTTGAAAAAAGTTAATGTTTAGTAATGGAAAGTACATAATGCATACAGTCATACATTGCCTAACGACAGGGGTATGTTCTGAGGAATGCATTGTTAGGCAATTTCATTGCTGTGCAAACATTGTAGAGTGGACTCACAAACCTAGACAGTAGAGCCTACCACACAACTGGGCTATGTGCTATAGCCTGTTGCTCCCAGGCTACAAACCTGTACAGCATGTTACTGTACTGAATGCTATAGGCAACCATTAACACAATGGTAAGTATTTGTGTATCTAAACATAGGAAAGGTACAGTAAAAATATGGTATATAAAACAAAAAATGGCATACTTATATAGGTCACTTGCTGTAAATGGAGCTTGCAGGACTGGAAGTTGCTCTGGATGAGTCAGTGAGTGAATGGTGAATGAATGTGAAGGCCTAGGACATTACTGTACACTACTGTAGACTTATAAACACTATACACTTAGGCGACACTAAATTTATTAAAGGTTTTCATTTCTTTTACTTTTTATTTATTTTTATTTTTTTGACACAGTCTCATTCTGTCACCCAGGCTGGAGTGCAGTGGTGTGATCTTGGCTCATTGCAGTCTTGACCTCCTGGGCTCAAGTGATCCACCACAGCCTCCTGAGTAGCTGGGACTATAGACATACGCTGCTACACCCAGGTAATTTTTATGTTTTTTGTAGATATGGGGTTTCACCATGTTGCACAGGCTGGTCTCAAACTCCTGGGCTCAAGTGATTCTGCCCACCTTGGCCTCCCAAAGCATTGGGACTGCAGGTGTGAGCCACTGCATCTGGCCTCTTTTACTTTTTAAACTTTTTAAATTAAAAACTAAGACAAAAACACACACATTAGCCTCGGCCTATACAAGGCCAGGATTATCAAGATATTACTAGGCTATAGGAATTTCTCAGCTCCATTGTAATCTTATAGAACCTTTTTTATATATGCAGTCCGTTGTTGACTAAAACACTGTTAAGTGGCACATGACTATATAGATTTTTGTTTCCTTTTTAAACCTTGCTGTCACTTCAATATTGTGTTTATAATTAATAGCGGGACAAACAGGCTGATATTTTGTTTTCTTTTTAAGATAGACAAATGATGGAATTGATAGAACTGCATGTTATTCTTCTTTTGTGTTTTCTAAGCCAGAGAAAGAAAATAGCTATCTGTCTAGAATTTTCTGCTGTCCAGTATGGTAGCCAGTGGCCACATTAATTTAAAGTAAAATTTTAGTTCCTCAGTCATCCTGGCCATATTTTAAGTGCTCAGAGCCATATGTGGACATTGTGAACATTACAATAATATAAAACATTTCCATCCTCACAGAAAGTTCTATTGAACATCACTGTTGAAGGAAAAGTAACAAACTGCCCATGGTTTGCCTTCCTCTTTCCTTTATTAAAAGGGTAAGCCATTTTTTCCAGGCTACTTATTCTCTGAATGTATCTCCTGAATTTGTCTATTTTTTTCTGTGCAAAACTACAACTAGATGTAATCGTTAGTCCAAAGGAAATGATTCTTTCCTCCTTTTATTGACACTGCTTCTTTTTCTTCCATCTCTCTGGTCCCTTTTCCTTAACCTTTTATAGATTTGTCTTCCTCTATCTATTTATTGAATGATAGCCTTCTACAGAGGTCCATCTGTAACCTTATTTTTTACTCCCTGGATGTGAAATACCCCATATAAGTCAAAGAGCAACAAATCTATGACCAGCTGAGACTTCTAACCTAATTTCCTAGTGAATATATCTACATGACTGTTCTATAAGCATTCCAGCCTCTCCGTGTCCAAAATGCATCGGCCTCTTCCTCTCTTGCAAACCCGCCTTTATTCCACCTCAGTGTGGGTCATTACTCTCTACCTTACTTCTAAGCTAGAAACGTTGGAGCCCACCTCTTCATACAAATCAATACCAATTCCTGCTGATTCCACCTCCTAATTACCTCTCAATTTGATTTTTTTTGTTTATTCCTAAAGCCCTGTTTTGTGGTCCTCCACATTTCCAAGTATTCTGACAACTTGTTAATCTTTCTCCTTCCCATTTATCTTCTCCACTGCTGAACAGTGATCTTTGTAAAGTACAGAGCTGATCATTTTGTTCCCCTATTTAAAATGTCCCTAAGTCCCCATGTTACCTTTGGCAAAAATGCAAACATGAGCATAATATAGTAGTCTCAGGGTCTGCCCCTCCCTGGCCCTCTCAGCCCTCAGCTTGGAGTCTTTGTTCAGTCATGTCCAGCCACCTGACTGTCTGGAATTTTTGTAACACACCATGTGCTTCGCTCTCACCTCTGTGCACTCGCACATCCCATTCCCTTCCTTGGGCTAATACCACTCCCAGCCCCACAGCCCACCCTCTTCCTCCTTGTTGAGTGATTCCATCTTGCTCTTCGGGACTCCATTCAGGCTTCCCCGCCTGCATCTGGGAACATTCCCTGATATCTTCCCTCTTCAGGCTGGTCTTGTGCCTTCTGACTTTCCTCTGCATTCTTATGGTATTTGTGCTTTTCTCTACCATGGCAGTTGTTTCCCCATATTGTAATTGCACAGAAAGTATGCAGTAATAATTTATAAAGTAACAAGTTTCAGCTCTGAAAATCTATTTGAATTCACAGACTAATGAGCCACATTATAGTAACCTTCTACTGTGTTCTTATAGGCAAAGATGCTGGAAGGAGATCTGGTTTCAAAGATGCTGCGAGCTGTTCTGCAGTCTCATAAGAATGGAGTAGCATTACCCCGGCTCCAAGGAGAGTACAGATCCTTGACTGGAGACTGGATCCCCTTCAAACAGCTAGGTTTCCCTACACTAGAAGCCTATCTGAGAAGTGTGCCAGCAGTGGTCAGGATAGAGACTAGTAGATCTGGAGAGGTAAGAAGGTAATTGTGCGTGTCAGAAGAATCAAACCAATTCATAATTGCCTGTCTGGCACTTCCAACCTCCTACCTGTGATAGAATTCTAAGTTGAAGTACTAGCTTAGTTGTTTGCAATTGGTAGTGACAGAGAAAGCAGCATCTAAATCATGGCCTACGTTCTTATGTCTTTTGTCTTATTCCTCAAATTATTTTCATTGTGAAAATAAGATTTTAACCACACAAAATTAAAAATTATTTACCCATTGTCAACATCTAAACAAAATAGTTGTACTGGAGGCCTTAAGTGCATAAATATCACACCTGCTCATTACAAACCTGTTACAAATGTTTTTGCCACAGTCACTAATGACCTCGTGATCACCAAATCTAATAGGCAGTTTTAAATTCTCATCATGTTGATTCCTGCTATCTGGACCTAGTCAGTCCGGAGCTGATCCTTCATCACTTTTCGTAACTACCAGGGCCTTCTTGCTGTTCTCTCTTCTCTTCTGTTATTTTCCTCTCCTTCACACCAATATGATCATATCATTATACCATTTTAAATCCTTCTGCCTCTCTGGAAGAAAGCAGTTTATAGAATGGGCCATTTAGTAGTAGCCGGTTGATCTGTCATTGCTCTTCCATTGTGACCTGGCAGCTTCGCTTCTTGGTACCTACCCGTTGTACAGCATAGTAGATGTAGACAGACCACCAACTAAAAAGAGAAACAAAAACACCCACACCCCCTCATATACTATAGTTTCCTGGGTATATTTCTACATGTGTAAATACATAGATCAGGTCTGGAGTGATCTATGTATTTCTCTTAATGGTTTCTCTGTATGGGGGATGAGGAGGCAGTGGTGGAGTACAAGGGAACCAGGAGCAGGAAAGTGTCAAAGGGGAAGTTCACCTTATAGTTAATAATTTTCCTAAGGAGAAGATATAAATTAATTAAGTATTATATGAATACTAAAATATGCTTTGGCATCCCTGATCCTTCCAGACAGACTTAAGCCCTCCTTTCTGTCTACTTGCACCTTGTAATACATCCGTTGTAACACTTGACACATTGTTTTCTGTTTAATTTCTTACTTCTCTCTTTTTCCTTCATAAGTTTCTTGAGGATGAAGGCCTTAATAAATCTGTGTTGAATGCATGAATGAATGAATAGCTGAATGAATTAATAAATTAATGCTCTATAGAGTTACTATACTGTAATTTACTCAACTCTTTGTTCCCCTGTTTTGGACATTTTAAATGTTTCTAGATTTTGACTATTAAAATACCCTCGTTGCATATACTTGGGTAGGTCACATTTGGTTTTTCAAGTTATATACTTGTACTATAGTCTCAGAAATAGAAATACCGGGCCAAAGAGTAGGAGCATATTTTAGCTTGTGATATAAAGCCTCATTGTTTTCCTGTTTTTTATTTCAAATTAGAGTCAAAGACTTGAAAACTACACAGGTCTGTAGAGATCATCTTGTCCCAGTAGTCTCTATCTTGAAATCTTTTTTCAATATCGTATCATACCAGTTTTTTTTTTTTTAAAGATACAGAGCTGAGCTGCAGTGTTTTCAGAGATGTGGAAGCCTGCTTGCCCTGCCTTGCTCTCATGCCCCTGCCAGTGGCAGCCCCTTGAGGCTTCTCCATGGAACTCTATGGCTCCCATGAACACAGTTTGAGAACACCAGGTGTAAAACACCCCTGTGTTACAGCTGAGAGTACTTAGATTTGCCCAGAGTCACCCAGTATATCCATCACAGAGGCAAGAGAAGGGTTTAGTAGTCTTGTATTCAACATAGTAGTTATGAGTACATACTTTGGACTCAAAGAGCCTCGCCATGTGACTTGGAAGGTTGCTTAACTTTCCCAAGCCTCTGCATTCCCATGTGCAAAGTGTGAATGAAATGTACCTCACAGATTATATGATATATGTTTGATCATAGTTGCTTTTGGTTCGTTTGGTAATTTGTACCTAGTACAGTGTAGATGCTTAATACCTATTTAAAAAATAAATGAAATTTTCAGTGTGGGAAAGATGATTCAGTGTACTAGACTATGCTCGATTCCTGTTGCAGAAAATGCAGTTTTCTTCTAGCATTATCAAGGAGCGAGACACATGAATATTTGCATACCGCTTGACTTGGGATATGTAGGCTCACTAAGATCCACTTCTAAGAATTGGCCTCTAGGCAACACGGAATCTAAGAAATGTTTCTCCTCTCCCCCTGCCTCTAATGAATAGATTACCTGCTATGCCATGGCCTGCACAGAAACTGCAAGAATTGCTCAGCTTGTGGCTCGTCAAAGGAGTTCTAAAAGGAAAACCGGGCGTCAAGTTAATTGTCAGATGAGAGTGAAGAAAACCATGCCATTTTTTCTAGAAGGTAGGAGCTTTTTATATGCTAACATTTTTAAGGCTGTCTATGAATACATTGTCATAGGGAATTATGGAAATATTGTTTGTATTATGATAAATACCTGTATCTGTTAACATACATATGTCAGGGGAAAAATCCTGAAGGTAGCATTTCCATTTGAAATTCTTAAGTGAACGTGATGAGCATGACTTACTAAGTGAAGTAATTACACAGTGGGAAATAACTCAGAACAGATTGTAATTGAGCTTGTTATGGTAATATGTAGTTTTTTTTTTTTTTTAAGCTTATTTCAGGGAATGTCTTGTCCAGAATGTTGGATGCACCAAGAACCTATGATTTTATGTCTTATTTGACAAGTTATGTCTTCTGGTAGAAAACCTCTAGTTTCAGGAATATGTGAATTATGTAGTACACAAAAATGTTATAGACAACTCAGCCTGTGTTTACCAAACACTTATCTCAAGGAGCTTACAATCGGTTCTAAAACTAAATTCCCATGAAGTGGTTCAATGATGATACAAAACAGTAGATGACTAAATGCCACAGTGAAGATTTAGGACAAGGGAGCAATCATTTTGAATGAAAATGGCAAAAGGGAGACTTGAGCCCAGACCTCAAACAATGGGTAGAATTTGGATTTATGGAGAAGAGATGGGAGGACCAAGATACAGCTGAGTGTGCTTTATTTGCAAGAAAATGGGGTGGCCGCCACTGAAGTGTTCAGTTGGTGAGAAGCAGGAGTTACTAGCCAGTCTAATGGATGAAGAACCTTATCTGCCGAATACTCACCCATCTATTCTTTTCCTATTGACCAACCCTCTAGTGGCAGCCTCTTCATGTTCTTACAAACTGTTCTGAGAATAGACACCCACAGAAAACATCTGGTCAGGGGAGTGTCATAATGAAAGTGGGGTTTGGGGATGCTAACTGATTTCATTATGTATGCCTAACTTCATAGGAAAACCAAAAGCAACCCTCAGACAACCAGGATTTGCTTCAAATTTTTCTGTTGGCAAAAAACCTAATCCAGCACCATTAAGAGATAAAGGAAATTCTGCTGGAGTTAAGCCTGAGGCTGAAATGTCTCCTTATATGCTACACACAACTCTCGGAAATGAAGCACTCAAAGACACTCCAGTGCAAAGGCATGTGACCATGTCCACGAACAACAGGTATTTGGCCTTTGACTAACACAGTTTGGTGAATCTGAGGTAAAAAGTGTTACAAATATATTTTCAGGTTAAGAAAGAAACACTTTCTATTTTATCTAAATTCACATATAGTAGAGACATGTGTCATTACCAGTTAAGTTCTCTTTTCCTAGCTGCCTGAACATCATTCTCTAAATGCATCTCTATTCTGTATTTTATCTGCATTGTTGTCAGTCTCTCCTTGTAAAGTTCATTTAAAAGCTTTCACAAATTGTTTTGAGATACTATTTCAGTATAACTTATAACTTTTTCAGAAAACTTTTTTTAACAATCAATTTTGTGGGTTTAAGTAAAATCTGATGGAGTTTTACACACTCCACTGTGCTGCAAATATCATGCCCATAATTATTTAGTAGCACCAGACATCCATGCAGCAGAATACCAGACTGGCAGTAAAAGACAACCTATAAGTCTTAGATTGGGTGCTGCCATTCACTAGTCAGGTAAAATAAGTTATTTCATCCTTGGGTCTGTGGTTTGTTCATTTGTCCAATGAAAGTGTAAAACTAGATGATCTCGAAGTTCCTTTCTGGCTCAAAACTATGGTTTTATAAGGTAGCTCAGAGGATGGCAAACTACAATCCATGGGCCACATCAGGCCCACTGCCTGTTTTGGTAAATTAAATTTTATTAGAACGTGGCCATTTTCTTTGTTTGCATATGCCTCTGGGTGCTTTTGCAAAATAGTGGCAGAAGTGAGTAGTCGTACAGAGACTAGATGGCCTACAAAGCAAAATATGCATTGGTGGACCCTTTACAGAAAAAGGTTGCTGACCCCTGATGTGGATGCATCAAGATCACATTCTTCTATCCTACTTGTGCCTTTTCAAAACAAATTTTGTTGTATTATATTCCTTTAAATCGGTGTTCAAAAATTCTATTTTGTGAAAGATAATTTTTCCCTCCAGAACTTTCCCCCAGATACTAGAATATTTAGGAAGAATTAACTTTTTTAAAAGGTTAGTTAGAACTGGTACTAATTTTTTATATTACAGAATTTTTAATAAAGTAACCGTAAAATATTTTTATAATGGTATACATTTAATGTTATATATAATTAGTTATAATTTTGATAAGGTCTAGAAAATACATAGTTAAAACACAGATCTTGACCCAAAGTACTTGTTGAATCCAATATGTATGTGACAGAAGTATCATTGTCTTCTCTGGTTGTGTGCCTACATTTCAGCAGTACATTTTGAATGATTTTTTTGGATGTGACTCTAAAAGGACAGGCAACAAAAGCAAAAATAGACAAATGGGATTACTTCAAACTAAAAAACTTCTGCACCACCAAAGAAACAGTCAACAGAGTGAAAAGACAAGCTGTGGAATGGGAGAAAATATTTGCAAACCGTATACCTGATAAGGGCTTAATATTCAAAATATAGGGAACTCAACTCAATAGCAAGAAAACAACCTAATTTTAAAAACAATCAAAGGACCTGAACAGAGATTTCTCAAAAGAAGACATACAAATGATCAACAAGTATATGGAAAAATACTCAACATCATGAATCATCAGGGAAATGCAAATTAAAACCACAGTGAGATACCGCCTCACACCCAATAGTATGGCCACTATCAAAACACAGAAAATAACAAGTGCTGGTAAGGATGTGGAGAAAAAGGGAACCCCAATACACTGCTGGGGTAAATGTAAGCTAGTACAGCTATTATGGAAAACAGTATGGAAATTTCTCAAAAACTTAAAAAGAACTATCAGCAATCCCACTACTGGGTATATATTCAAAGGCTATGAAATCAGTATCAGTTGAAGAGATATCTGCTTGCCCATGTTCATTGCAGCAGCATTCACAATAGCCAAGGCATGGAATCAACTGAAGTGTCCGTTAATGAATGAATGGATAAAGAATATGCATTATATCTACTGAATGGAATACTTACTATTCAGCCTTCATAAAGGAGGAAATCCTGTCATTTGCAACAACATAGATGAACCTGGAAGACGTTATGTTAAGTGAAATAAGCTGGGCACAGAAAGAAAAACCACATGACCTTATATGTGGAATCTAAAAAAGTCGAACTCATAGAAACAGTAAAATGGCAGTTACCAAAGGTAGGGAAATGGGGTTAGGATGGGGGTTGTGGATGTACACAATTTCAGTTAGGAGAAATAGGTTCAATACATCTGTTGTATTTCATGGTGACTATAGTTAATGATACTTGTGTACTTGCAAATTGCTAAGAGAGTAGATTTTAAGTGTTTTTACCACAGAAAGTAAGCATGTGCAGTAATGCATGTGTTAAGCAGCTTGATTTAGCCATTCCACAGTGTACACTTATCAAAACATCACATCATGTTGCATACCATAAATATATACAATTTTTACTTGTCAACTAAAAGCATGAAACTATAATATGACCCAGCAGTTGTGCTCCTGGACATTTATCTCAGATAAATGAAAACTTATGTTTACACAAAAACCTGTCCACAAATGTTCACTGTAACTTTATTTATATTAGCCAAAAAATAGAAACAACCCAGACATCCTTTGGTAAGTGAATGGTTCAACAAACTGTAGTACATTCATTATCACAGAATATGTCTCTGCAGTAAAAAGGAGTAATGAACTATTGATACACACAGCAACTCTGATGGATCTCAAGGGAATCATGCTGAATGAAAGAAACCAATCTCAAAAAGCGACATACTGTGTGATTTTATTTATATAACATTCTTGAAATGATAAAATTATAAAGATAGATGACAGATTAGTGGTTGCCAGAGGTTAAGGATTTGGGTGATTTAAGGGATGGGTATGGCTATAAAGGGAGAGCAAGAGGAACCCTTGTAGCCATGGGATGGTTCTGTGTGTTGATTGTACTGGTGGGCACCTGAATCCGTACATGTGGTAAATTGCACAGAACTACACACACACATCCATATGCAACTGGAAATCTGAATAATCTCTGAATTGTACCATTGCCAGTATTCTGGTTTTGATATATACTATGCAAGATTTTACTATTAGGGGAAACAGTGAAGGGTACATGGGACCTCTAAGTACACTTTTTGAAATTTCCCATGAATTTATAGGTATTTCAGAATACAAAGTTTTCAAATTGACAGCAGGCCGGGCACCATGGCTCCTGCCTGTAATTCCAACACTTTAGGAGGCTGAGGCAGGAGGATCACTTGAACCCATGAGTACAAGAACAGCCTGGGCAACATGGTGAGACCTCATCTCTGCTTAAAAAAAAAAAAAAATTACCTGGACATAGTGGTGTGCACCTGTAGTCTCAGATGCTTGAGAGATTGAGGTGGGAAGATCACTTGAACCTGAGAGTTCCAGGGTACAATGAGTTATAATCACACCACTACACTCAAGCCTGGGTAACAGAGTAAGACCTTGTCTCTTAAAAAAAAAAAAAAAAAAAAAAGCCACATATTTTCATTAAAGACTGCTTGAGATGTTGTAAAACATTTTAATCAAGTCTTTTTTTAAGCACATAGTACAATTTGAAAGATACCTTTTAAGAGAAATCTAAATACCACCCAGTGGCAGATGTTATGGGTAACATTTGTAGTTATAAAATCAAAATATCAAACTGGAACAATAGCAAAAACATTTATATCTACTTATGAAATATTAATGTAGTAAAAAGCAGTTAAACCTGTTATGAAGGACACTTACACTTTTTGAGGTCACCAAACCTCTTGAAAAGCTAATGAAAGCTATTAATGGTCTTCCCAGAAAAATTCACACATGTACATATACATATGCATACCTCATCTCATACCAGTAGATTCATGAGCCCCCAAAGCTCGTTCTCAAGAGTTCCAGTTAAGAACTCATGCCTGTTAACAAATTGAAAAGTTCTAGAAAGCTGGCATGGCTAGTTTCCTGTAGAATAAATTAATAGAGATAAAATGTGTGGGTAAGAGGGTATACATATTAAGGCTCCTATTAAATTATGCTCTAAACAGATTATAATAATTTGTTTTCTTCTAGAAGAGTATGAGAGTGATTATTTTCTTGTATGCCTGCCAACTTTGGGCATCTGTTTTTTGCTTTGCTACTTTGAAAAGTGAAAAAAAAGTCTATGTTTTAATTTTTATTTCCTTGATTTTGATTCTTAAGGAAGTTACATTTTTGTCATAGTATTTGTTAGTCCATTATAGGTCTTATGTGAATTACATGTCTTTGTCTTTTGCGTAATTTTTCTGTTGGCTCTTTTCTTTTAACATCTAAAAGTGGTTTATAAATTAAGGAAGTTGGCCCTTTGTGGTATCTTGACAGTATTCTCTCAGTTCGTTTAATTATTGTATTTTTTGTATACAAAAACTTTAAAATGTTGCATGCTTACAGCTATCAGTCTTTTACTATGTGGCTTCTACTTTTAGGTATTATGCTTAGAAAAGCATTTCCTCCCAATATTATGTAAAACGTCTTCTGTTTTCTTTTGTAATTGTGGCTTCATTTTTTTTACATTTTAGTCTTTAATTCATCCAGAATTTATTTTATTGTATAGTGTGAGAGTTGTAATCCTTTTTTATTGTTAGCCAGATGTCCTGTATCAGTTATTACGCAATCCTTTCTTTCTCTGCTGGTTTGTAATTCTATCTTTACCAGTACTAAGACCTTATAAACATATGATTCAGTTCCTGGACTTGCCATTCAGAATAATTGATTACCTCTCTATTCTGCAGTACCAAGGTATTCACATTATTATAACTTCATAATAAGTGCTAATAACCTTTACTCTCTACTTCCACCTCTATCTTCTAATTTGGTTTATTAGTTCCATTGTGTGCTTTTATTACACCTACTGCCCTTATCATAACACTTAGTAGACTTTGTTCTTAGATTTTGTCAATGCATTAATTATCTATTGCTGTATAACAGATTACCACAAAGTTATTAGCTTACAACAAGACATATTTTCTTACCTCATAGTTTCTGTGGGTCAGGAAGGAAGACATGGTCAACCTGGGTCTTCTGCTTCAGGGTCTCTCATGAGGCTGCTGTCAAGGTGTCAGCCATGGCTGGGGTCTTACCTGAAGGCTCAATTAAAGACGAATCTGCTTTCAATCCTACTCACATGGTTATTGGCACAATGCACTTCCTTCTGGGTTGTTCATTAGTCCCTAGGTGGCTGTTAGCCAAAGGTCATCTTCGGTTTCTTGCCACATGGTTCTTCCCAGCATGGCCATTTGCTTCATCAAAGCCACAAAGGAGAGATTATACTAGCAAAGTTGAAACTACAATCTTTTGTAATCTAGTTATTTGTGATCCCTTCAGCCTTGAAGTCTTCTATTGATTAGAAGCAGGTTACTCAAGGAGAAGGAATTACACAAGGCTGTGAATACCTGGAGGGAAGAATCTTTGAGGGTATCTCAGTAGCTGCTTACCATGGTCCATTTCTCAACTATACTGTATAGTCTCAGAGAATAGGGCATGTTTATCTTGCTCATCATTGACAGTTACTGTCTGACACAATGTCTGGCACATAGTATGTCTTAAATATTTATGGACTAGAAATATGTCTCTAATAAACAACATATGTTTAGATTTGGAAGGTTTTTTCTGGACCAGTCTAACTCTTTGTTCTTTAAGAAACAATATATTTTATTCTTAGTGTTATAAAACTGCTTAGACCTCTGTCATCTTATTTTATTATGTTCGTTTTTCATGCATCCCAGCAATTTCCTTTGAAGAGCTTCCTTTTGCTATATACACTTTTTTTCTTTCCTCTCCGGTAGACCTGGTGATGATTGAACCATAGCAGTCCCTTCCATAGTTTCTATGTACTCTCACTCTTTGCTCATATCCCTCTACCTTCTACTGGAGCCTTCAATGCTTACTTAAAGCAGGGGAAGCTTCCAGTTTACATGTTCTGGGCTGGTGCGCGGGAAGTAGTACTGTCTCCCTACCAGTTCTGCAAAAGTAGGAGTTGGAAATGTTTTTAGCATCTTCTGCTATTACACAGATATATTTAATACACAAATAGGATGGTCTTATAATTGCATATACCAAGTAAGCTTTTATTGGTAGCCTAGAATCTAATCATTTCTTTTAGAATTAAAATACTATAAGAAAATGTGCTTCATTTCAAGGAATTGATCTAATTTTTAGACTGTTCCATACTATTCAAAAACTGGCAGCTATGTGTACTGTGTCACTATCACCCACTATAGTCCCGTACCCACTGCTGGGCAGGTTGTAGTCATTTATTCATTCAGTCATTCTTATAATATTCATTTGCCTTGCATGTATCAAGCACTGCCCCAGGCACTTGAGAACACAAACAATTAAGACACTTAGAGTCTAGTGTGGGAAACAGACATGAATATAAATGGTGTGTGTGTGATTTATTTCTTTGTCTTCATATTTGGAAAAATCTTCCTACATATATCCAGTACAATTTATATAAAATGTATTTTTAGTGAGGGTATGAGGTAGGGATCTGTTTATTTTTTTCAAATAGTTATTTGACCAGTCCCTCACCTGTCTGTTTTGAAATGCCACTTTCATTATGTTCCAAGATATAATGCAAATTGCATGTTTCTAAGTTCTCTACCATTTTACGTATCTGTACAGCTCATTTAAGTGTTGTAACTTCATAATGCATTTCAATATCTGGTGATGCAAGTCCTTCATTTTTTGGTTATATTCCAAAATGTTCTTTGTTTCCAACTGTTTATTTTTGCATGGTCTTCTTTATTCTGTTTTACCAGTTTTTTATAAGTGATTAATTGGAATTCTGACATCCAAGTTTTGAAAGAGGCTTTCAAAGACCTAGTTTAAATTTAGCTTTTAACATACTTTTCTCTGAGTGAATATGAAACATGAAAGATGATGCCAGGTTTTATTTTTATTTTTTCTGATTTTAAATTATTTTAATGACTTGTTTTGCTGTTAAATGCCACTAAGTGAAAAGAATAGAGTTTAACACTTGGTTTAGACTTTGCTATTTACATTTATTTTACCAATTTTTTTTTTTAATACCTTAGGTTTAGCCCAAAGGCGTCCCTTCAGCCACCTTTGCAGATTCATCTCTCAAGAACCTCTACTAAGGAAATGAGTGGTATGTTTTCTAAACATTTTTGAGATACGTATTGGCTTCTGGAGCCAGGAAACATCTGGTGGTGGCTTTTGACATTTGCTCTCACCTTCTGCTGTTTGGAATATATCTTTCCTCCCCTTTTTCCTAATTTCTTTACATCATGAATCGCAGTGATCTTAAGAGAAAATGGTGCCTCCCAAAGATATCATTATTATACTGACTTGAGGCCTTCCTTGCCCCAGCCCTACTCTGTGTCACCTCCATGTGTGGCCTGCAAAGATGCTTGTGTCCCTTACCCTGTCACCTCTTAGGGGTGCACCCCCTGAGACTTTGGAGGCTGAGGCCTCACATAAAGGAAATATCTGCTGTAGATCAAAAGTGCATAAATATGGTACTTAAATTTATAAAAGAGTTTCACATACTCCACCACTTAAAAGCTAGCACCCTAAACTGTGTGCAGTTACCACTAATCATCTAAATATGAATATAAATAATTCTTTGGGTTATAGAATACAGGCGGGCTGTTAAGAAAACAATAGGAGACATAGTATAAGTCAAAGAATCTGAAGGTTAGAAATGCAACCACTAGTTACCTTTTCTTCTCCAACCAATGTGTAAATCCCCTGCTCATAGACCCACCCAGGGAGACAGTGTTTTCGTATCAGTGCTTATGGTGTGTGAAATGTAAGTGTGATTTTACATTATTTGCTGGTTTAAGTGTGATTCTTACTTAGTTGAAATCCTTTTTTTTTTTTTTTTTATAATAACACATCTCCAGTATTTCTTAATGGAAATTAATTGAACAATATTTTTGTTTACATGAATTATTTTTACATAGGCATTTTCTGAAACATGACTACATGGTAAAGTTGAATATCCTTTTAGAAGCTTAAATTAGTATAAACTATTTCTACAGAAACAAGAGGACTTACTTCAGGAGGATTGCAGTTCACCCGGCAGAGCTGATATGCACACATGTGTACACAACCTCTCCTACATGATGGACACCTCCATTACTACTTTAATTTGTTTAACAAAAGGTGCAGGGACTTAGATGGCCCCAGTGGCCCCACAGAGCAAGTGCGTTTGCAGACACAACTGTGGGGCAGCTGCTGACACACTCTCATTATGGGAGGGTCTGGCCAGTTATGAGAAACTTAATCTTTTCCTCCTTCCAAGTCCTTTTATATCATTATTTGGGAAGAACTTAAATAAATTAGCTATACCCTTAATAGGAAATATATGTGGATATCCTGGAGCCTTCTTTTCTGTGTGCCAATCTAAGACTTAGCAAGGCCAGATCTTGCCCTTTGGTGGAAGAGCAGAGTCAGCATCCAAGTGTCTTCAAGGAATAGCTCACTCTGGGCTTCCTGGCATTCTCAGAGGCAGCATCCCCAAATCACACTGTCTCTACCGGCAAATTAAAATAAAAATTACTGAATCCCAGCAGAGATACTATCTGGTTAAAATATGCAGATATTTTGCATGTAGATGGTAATATTTAATATACTCAGATCTATATCTCAGTGTAATTTCCTAGAGATTTGGAATAAATTTCATAGTTCTTAAAATTCCAGGACTGTCAGCTATAGTAAACACTCAGATTTCTTTATTGTCTGGGGATATTAACTCTCACATTCTAAGTTTTAAGTAAAAATGAAATGTAAAAGAGCTATAAAGCCAAAACTTTATAAATACACACTTATGAAAGAGAAATGATTGATATTGGGGAAATAAAAGTTATCTGTGGGTTTCAAACCTTTTATTTATATTTATAAACTGAGGCTTGGATGATGATTATTGTAGATGGATCAATTTTTTAACTTTTGTGTATTGCTAAATTATTTGTTTTCCATTAATAAAGGTGCATATTGATCATAATATTCAAACTCAGGCAGTTTTTAATCTTCTATAAAACTTGTATAAGATCAAAAAGTTATTTGATCTGTTAAGGCATTATTCCTATGTTCTGTGGAATATAGCTTTAAATTCAGTATTGCCTGTAAACTAATATATAAAATGTAATCTTCCTCAGCAGGTAGAAAACAGTTGGTTAAATAATTTGATTATTCTTTACATAGCAAGATCATCTTGATGTTTAAACTATGAAGCATCCTTGCAAAATAAAGGGACTAGGTTCCTTCTTTGGGTGTTTCTTGACCCACAAGAAACACTGCTGGTTATTTCAGGGTTAAAACTTAGAATGAGGTTGTCATGGTGCTGCTCTGCCTAATCCTGCTCCCTTCTAAGTCCTTTGGCTACCACAAGCCCACACTATAGCAAAACCTGAAGATGCAAATATTAAGTAATGGGGATAATCTAAAATGTTAAGCATTTTGGTTAATTCTATTATTTTTTTAATTTAAAGATAATTTAAATCAGACTGTTGAAAAACCCAATGTCACGCCTCCTGCCTCTTACACTTATAAAATGGATGAGGTTCAAAACCGCATAAAGGAAATACTAAACAAGCATAACAATGGCATTTGGATATCTAAGCTTCCACATTTTTACAAAGAGTTATATAAAGAAGACCTTAATCAAGGAATTTTACAACAGTTTGAACACTGGCCTCATATTTGCACGGTACGTTTTTCCTTATTCCTCCCTTCTGATACCTCCTCCCTGCCCAGCTTTGAGATCTTGAGTTATTAGTCATATCACTTTTATCCCCGGAACACAAAGCACTTTACATATGTTACCTCATTAATCTTTAACTCTTAAGATTAACGTATGTCAGTTCTTATTTATAGAAGTATGTCAAAGTTGAAGGCTCGCCTACGTTGTAATTGCTATTTTTATGTATTTTGTTTTATGTCATTTTTAAAATGCATTTAATATGTGATAATATGTAAATCATTTTATAATGATTGAACTGTTACCAGTAAACACTGATAACTTTGCCATTTTAATAACCTGAACTTATTGGGAAGAATTGTTTTATTAGCCTCAAATTTTATTTGCTTACTCTTGAGCATTTTTAAAGGCTTTTAGTTGAGCAAATTTTAGTTATTTTGACTAATTATATATAGAGTTCTTAATTTTTAATTTGAAATTATATAGTGTTTACATTAAAATTTTTACAAGCCATCTTTAGAGAGAAAATTGGAAATTAGAAAAAAGAAAAAATTAAAAATGGTTTATCAATTTCCATTTCTATTCCTACTTCAGAGTCTATGACTATAAGATTATGGATCAGCATAGTTTATTAAAGATATTCGTTCAGCCAGAGATAGAGACAGCTGGATTCTTACACCAAAATAACTAACTTTTAGATGTTTCTTAATGTTTTTGCTTACATAAAATATATTTAAAATATAACTGTTTTAAATGGTCACATTAACAGCTACTCGATGCTTCTAGGCTTGTAGAATTAAATATGCATGAGGATTATGTATGCTTTGGTAGAGGGCTTTTATTTCTTTAACATATATTTTGGCCCCCAAGCCTATTGGGCAGTGTATCACTATATTCCATCCAAGCAATGAGGGTCAGAAGCAGAAACACAATATAACTTTCCTATCTATATACTGTGTCTATTACCTTTGTTCAGATGTAATCAATACCAAGTATTAGGTTATGGTAATTTGCTTAGTGAAGTGGGATGCCAGAAAACACTAATCATATTGATGTCTATTGATACCTTTCAAAACTGTTTAACCTCTGAATATTTTTTAACAGACTGTCGTTAAACAGTTTTAGACAGTTAAACCATGGTTGTTTTTAAACAACTTTAAACACTTACACAACGGTTATTTTCCCTCTTATAACTCCTTTTTTTCACCTTGCTACAAAGCAGAAACAGATACCATGCCTAGGACAGATGTTACTACAAGCAAGTTTAGATAGTCTCAAGGCAGTGCACAAAGTTTAGGATAAGACAGAAGTTGGTAATGGGTATCTCTCTATATGGCTTGTCTCTCTGCATGGCTTGTCATGTAACTGAAGGAGAAATCTTAAGTGCAGTGCATTTTTTTAAGCGTTTTTTCCTCCAATCATATAAAATATTCTATATTAAAAGATTGAAAAATAAAGTTATAAAAGAAATAAAAATCACCCATCATTCTACCACCCAGAGTACTACTTACAGGAATTTCCATTTGAATATCAGAATGCACAGCATCAGCTTTAGGAACCAAATAGCAGCTTTTAAATTTTATCTTCAGGGAGGTTCTAATTAGTATGCTGTAAGCCACTTCACATGGATATTGGAAAACATTTTGATGCAGGTGGAAGGATGCTTTGAACCTGTTGTCCTTAACCTTTTGGGTCTGTCCAGTAGTGAAATGTGTACTGAGAGTTTTCAAAGCTAGGGAGAACACAGAGTTATTCACAATGATGAGCCAGCTCCAAGGTATTCCTAGACAACTTGTGAGGGAAGTGGAAATTGTGCAGAAGCTGTCTTGAAAAGGCAAAGATTCCAAGACAGTAAGCCTACAGATCAAGGACACTGCACTCTAAGAGTTCCCATTGGGTCCTAGGAGGACAGCAACACCTCTTGGCTGTCCTAGAGCAGTGGTCTTGTTAATAGTGCTCTTGTTTAACTGTTGTATTTGACTAGTATTTATAAAATGCTTCTGTGTGCTAGCCACTGACCTGGGTGTTAGGGATAAAACAGTAAACAAGACAGACATGGTCCTTGCCCTTATGGAACTTTCTGTCCAGTGGGGAAAATAAACATTGAACAAATAATGATAAGCCTGCAATGGTTATGAAGGAGAAGTATAGGATGCTGAGGGAATGTCTAAACAGGAAACTCTGCATAGTCTGATGAGTCAAGTAAAGCTTCCAGAGGAGGTGGCTGTTAAACTGAAACCTGACAGATGGGTTAGTGTGAGTTAGGTAAAGAGGGAGGAGAAAAGCACCTCAGACAAAAGAAACAGATTGCACCAAAGCCCTGGGATAGAAAAGCATAGTATTTTCAGGAAGCTGAAAGAAATTCAGTAAGAAGATAGTTGCTCATGAAGAAGCTGATGAGGCAAGCAGAGGCCAGGTCACTTTACTGAGTCATCGTTTGGTGGAAACAGCAGGTCTCAGCCTTGAGGTCACCCAGGATCCATGGCCTCTGGCTAACTTTGATTTCTAGAAAAATTACAAAACTTGGTCGGGCACATTGGCTCATGCCTGTAATCCCAGCACTTTGGGAGGTCAAGGCAGGAGAATTGCTTGAGGTGAGAAGTTTGAGACCAGCCTGGGCAACATATCAAGGCTCTGTCTCTACAAAAAATAAATTTAAAAAAATTAGCTGGGTATGGTGATGCATGCTTGTAGTTCCATCTACTCAGGAGGCTGAGGTGGGAAGATTGCTGGAGCCCAGAAATTCAAGGTTGCAGAGCTATGATGGCACCGCTGCACTCCAGCCTGGGTGACAGCATGAGACCTGTCTTAAATTCCAAATCTTGCAACAATGACTGCTGAACACCAGAGATTTTGTTGAAAATTTCTACTCTCTGAAACTGATAAAGAAACCTCTCCATTCTTACATTAGCCACAATATCTTTCTCCCACGTCTTGCCTGAAGCTGTTAGAGAGCTGAGGGGCTCACTGGTGGGCAGAACTAGATGCACTCAGCTAAGGAGAATTTCTGTCAGTAGCCCCAAGACCTACTGATAGGCAACCAGCAGGTAGCTATTCTAAGTTGGGCTGGAGGCAAACCAAGCCTTAATTCTAAAACATAACATTTTGTGAACAACAAAATTATAGAACATAAAATGTTGTGAATGAGGAAAAATTGCCTAATTGCACTAATTATTCATAGCTTCTACAAGGATGTTTTACTCTTAATCTATTTTTATTATATATCATTTTCCTATTCATTAGAAATCACTGAGCTTTAAGTTATTTCGTATCTAATCCTGCAGACTCTTAAAAATTCTTAAAATTCTGAGTTGCATCAGTATAGCAGTTTCTCTAATATCAAAGGAGGCAAGAATTTCTGTCACTTACATAGAGATGTTTTTATATTTTGGGATGTTCAGGAATCTAACTTAACTTTAATTATGGTAATTAGTTGTATGACATAATAAAGCACCTTTTAGCCCATGTAAAATGAATTGCCTTTTTAAAAAGCCTGGAACTTCTGGGGTAAAAACACACAACTTGGATTTCTAAGGAACTGGAACATAAACAACAATCAATATCCTCAGGCTTAATGGTATTGAATATACTGTATGTGTTGAATATATTCTAAATAGCAATGCCAGCAGAAGCAGAAGTGAAGAGGTAAACTGAAGACTTGGAAGTATAATCATAATATTTTTTAAGTGGAATCTAACTTATTTTCCATTTTTTCACCAGTGAAAAGAAATATGTAATGAACACATGATTGGAACAATTTTTACATTTAAATTCAGTGAACATCTGAGTAGAAAAAAGATAAAATAGCACTGTTGTAAAATCAGAGTAACGAAGTTGAGGAATAATGAGAAGTTGCTGTTCTGGAACTTGAAACAGAAACTACCCATAAGGCCCCATAGTACACCAGAAGGAGTTTGGGCTTTGAGGTAGATTTTTACCTTGTCATTTCTTAGCTGTATACCTTTCAGCATATAGACCATCCTGTCAGCACCACAACCTGCTCTAAAATGTCACTAATTCTACCCATGTCATAGGGTGGTTGTGAGAATTAGATAAAATATATAAAGCAGCTATGAATGTGGTATCAGAAACATAATAGGTGTTTAGTAAAAGGCAACTGCTGTTAATTTTTGAGAGGTACCCCAGCCTAAAGCAGGCCAAAACCCACTGCTCAATCAGAGACATGCTCAGCAAGCTCTACAAAGGAGCTGAATACAAACAGAGGAAAAGCTGAGGAGGGAAACACAAAACTTTAACTTGAAAAGAAATAAAGAGCAGTGGAGGAAATGAAGTCAAAATAAACGCCAAGCCAAAGAGAGTTCCTGATGTTTTAACAGTCCATGAATGGATTCCAGTCCCCCTACCCTCCCTGCACCTGCCCCAACTCCTGCCAGAGGTAATGAGAGCAAGGAATAATGAGAGCAAGGAACGTGTCCAATGCACATTGAAAGCCACAGCCACTGGCCAGTAGCAATTCCAAAAAGTTCTGCACGTGTTCAACTAGGAGAAGACTCCATTATCTTCCTGAAGGAACATGAGCAAGAGGCCTACCCTCAGGCCATGCTAAAGGAAGATGACTTGAAATTTATCCTAATATAAATAATTGCAATGTGTGTCTAAAGACAGCATTGGTGAAAGGTCTTTCCTAGTTAAAGGGGTGGGAGTAAGTGGAAGTGTTGACCTTGAAGTACATAGAGTCTATTAAATGACTCATCTACGATGGCGGAGAAGAGTTTCTCTGAGTAGATGGTTTGTCAGCAGTCAAGGGTTACCCTCTACAAGGATCTTTTTACCTTTACCTTTGATTAAGTCTTTGTGGAATATGTTACAAAACCTTAACTTTCTCAAAGAGAATTGACTGAAAAACTGTAACCATTTCTGAATATCTTGGACTTATCATCACTAGCCTCAGTACATTCTGGCAGAGATGGTTGTGGTTGTAAGTGATAGGGAACAGTGGATTGAATGGGTTTAGCTCCTGCATACAAGGTACACCACACCGGCTGCCC